TACCTTCCCTCCTGGGACCCAGTGGCTTCTCAGGCGCCCGGTCTACGGCCTGCGTCAGGCTCCCCGCGAGTGGCACGACACGCTACGTGCCACGTTAGCAGACCTGCAGTTCTTTCCGTCCTCTGCTGACCCTTCATTGTTTGTGCGTTCCGGCCAGACTCCGTTCTACATCCTTGTCTACGTAGACGACCTGGTCTTCGCTACCCCTGACAGGGACGCACTGGCCTCTGTGAAGGCTGAGCTGCTGAAGAGACACACCTGCACTGACCTTGGAGAGCTGCGTCGCTATCTTGGCCTGCAGATCTCCAGGGACAGAGCAGCACGCACCATCACTCTGACCCAGTCACACTTGGTGCGTCAGGTCCTTCAGAGGTTCGGTCTTCAGTTCTCCTCCGCACAGCCCACACCTCTACCCGTAGACCATGGGCTCTCTGCTCCCGTTCCTGAGGAGCCAGTAGAGCCCAGTGGCCCCTACGCAGAGCTGGTGGGTTGCCTCATGTACCTGATGACTTGCACTCGCCCAGATCTCGCATACCCTTTCAGCATCCTGGCTCGCTTTGTGGCCACAGGCAGACACCGACCGCAGCACTGGTCTGCCACTAAGAGGGTTTTGCGTTATCTTGCAAGTACATCGGGCATGGGGTTAATGCTAGGAGGACGCAGGTCAGTGGTCCTTACTGGACACACAGACGCTTCTTGGGCAGACGACGCCGACACACTCAGGTCTTCTCAGGGCTACTGCTTCAGCCTTGGTTCAGGTGCCATCTCGTGGAGAGCTACCCGCTCCTCGTCTGTTGCCCAGTCCAGCTGTGAGGCCGAGATCTACGCTGGTGCCATGGCGGTACAGGAGCTCCGCTGGCTGACCTACTTGCTCACTGACTTAGGTGAGTGGCCTAGCTCTGCCCCGGTCCTGTACGCTGACAACAGGGCCATGATCCTCCTGTGTCAGGAGCCACGACTCGAGGGCAGAGCGAAGCATATCTAGCTGCGGTACTTTCTCCTGCGTGAGCTACAGCAGCGCCGCCAGGCACGCGTAGTACACTTGGCCTCCGGTGCCAACGCAGCTGATATCTTTACAAAGGCGCTTGCGCCTAAAGATCATCAGCGGCACTGTGTACAGCTCGGTCTAGTTCCTGTAGCCTCTCACTTGCTAGGGCCTTGAATTTGTACTGTCCTATACATCTATATGTACTCAGACTGGACTTGTGTCCTTTCCCAGAGGCTGGACTAGTAGTGCCGTCCTGGTCTTGTTCTTGCCTTGCTGTACTCCTTCTGACTTGTCTTTTAGACCCTTGTCTCAGTGGCTGGACTAGTAGTGCTGCCCTGAGCTGCTTGTTCAGGACCTGCCCCTATGCAGTCTAGAGGGTGTGTCAAACATGTGTATCTGTTATGTTTGCATAGACTGTATAGGGTCGCCTCTTAGAGGGTACAGCACTTAGGTATATTTCCTTGTACTCTCTCACTACTCTATCATTCTATTCTCTCAGTTCTAAGAGCTTTTCCCAGAAGGCTGAGAGCGAGTTCATGGTTGCGAGAGATTCTAGGTGCTTGCGTGACGTGGTTCAATGGGCACGGCAACATCGTTAAACAAGTGGTTGATAATGTCAAGGTAAAGCATCAAAGAGGTTTAAATGCTTTATCATAGTAGACCAAACATACATGGAGGGGGAATCTTAGAAGATGGTGCACATATGCTACGAAGAAGCATGAAAGTATGTTCAGTATGCCACTTGCTGTCAACTTATATATATTATATATATTTGTGTAGACTTGGTAGGTATTCTACAATTCAGGATCATACTGTAGAGAGGACAACCCCCTCTTCTTGTACCTCTCTTTCTTTCCTAGTCGACCCTCTTTTCTCTCGCTAAACTTCTCCTACCTAGCTAAATGTTAGAGTAGCGGGAAAAGTTGTGACTAAGGGAAAATGTCGAGGGATACAAAACTAGGGCTGTACTCACTAAGAACTAAACTAGCTAGGCTATGAACAATAAGACCTAGATAATCTATATAAATATATTTGTTGACACACCCCCTAGCCTAGATAGTGGCAGTTCATAACAAGACAGAGTACACCAGGGCAGCAGTACTAGTCTGACCCCTGGTGAAGGCAACAAGGCACCACAGGGCAGCATTACTAGTCTGACCACTGAGAAAAGAGGCCACAAGGCCAGTCAGCAAATGCAGCAAGACAAGCACGTATAGGATAACACGTACAAGCAGGTATAGTATGACTCAGGATATAAGGAGTGGTGCTGCTACAGAGGCGAGACCAAGCTGAGTACAGAACCGCTGATGGTGACGAGGCGCAAGTGCATAGGTGAAGATATCAGCAGTCTTGGCCTACTGTACCACTCGAGCCTGGCCGCGGTGCGTCTCACGCAGCAGGAAGTACCGCAACTGGATGTACTTTGCCCTGCCCTCAAGTCGAGCCTCCTCACACCAAAGGATCATAGCCCTGTTGTCAGCAAATAGGACCGGGGCACACCTAGGCTGCTCACCTAAGTCAGTGAGCAAGAACATCAGCCAGCGGAGCTTCTGAGCGGCCATGGCCCCAGCGTAGATCTCTGCCTCACAACTAGAATGAACTACAGACGACGACCTTGTGGACCTCCAAGAGACTGCACCAGCACCAAGACTAAAACAGTAGCCCTGAGACGACCTGAGCGTCTCCACGTCGTCAGGCCACGACGCGTCTGTGTGTCCAGTGAGCACCATTGACTCTCGTCCTCCTAGCACAAGCCCCAGTCCTGATGTACTCGCCAGATACTGCAGCACCCTGTTGGCAACCAACCAGCCGACCATGCTGCTCGGTGCTCAGCAAGAGTGGTGCAAAGCGTGTCGTGCCACTCACGGGGTGTCTGACGAAGGCCGTAGACAAGACGGGTCAGGCTCCACTGGGTCCCAGATGGGAAGGACCCAGAGAAACCTAGAGGGCGTCGGAGGTAGATCTGCTCTTGCAGACTACCTTGCAGGAACACTGTGGAGAAGTCGAGTGAGTGACGTTCGTAGTCACGCTACGCGGCTATGTAAAGAAGGACCCGAAGAGTAGTTATTTTCGGGGTCGGGGAGAAGGTATAGAAGAAGTCCACACCCTCACGCTGTTTGAAGCCTCTAGCCACGTAACGCGCCTTGAACTTCGACAGCTCTCCAGGTGCGCGCTTCACCATGTAGATCCACATGCCATCGACTACGTTCGCCCCAGGCGGGGGAACAGTGTCGACGTAAGTGCCTGTGGATCTGTAGGATGCCATCTCAGCCTCCATGGCCTGTATCCATTGGACTTCCCAGGGCCCCGACACCGCCTCAGCGTAAGAGCGCAGAACAGGGATGCCGAGAGCGTCTAGGTCGCCCTCTGGGGATACAAGCATGGAGCAGAGATGGGGAACAGCAGTAGCAATGTAGGCCAACTCGTACTGCGTGTTCCCTAGCACGTCACTACCAAAGGCAAGTGCACCCCTGACGGACGGAGGACGGGCAGTACCAGAGACCAGAGCGGCAGCGTAGTCAAGGCGGTGGCTAGCGGCAAAGTCAGCGACAACAACGACAAGCGCAGAGTCAGTCTCACGAGGAGCAGTAGGGTCAGTGACAAGTGACGCAAGCAAGCACGAAAGGGTAGGACTAGCAGTGAGAGCAGCGTCAGAGCGAGGAGGGGGGAACGACGGGAGTGACAACGGGGGAGGCAACGGGAGGAGTGTGATTGGAAGAGCACGCGAATGAAGAACTAAAGGGAGGACACTAGGACGAGGAGAGACACGACGAGCACCAGAGGGGCGACGGACCCAGTGGAGAAGAATTGGGGATTGGGGACGAGGGGGAACGGGGGACAAGTCTGGGGACGGAGGGGAGCGCGGGGGAAAACGAGCCGGAGAGGAGTCCGTAGAAGGGAACAACGATCTGTAAACAGAGTCACACACCGGAGGGGGAACGGGCGGGCGGACAGGGGAACCTGGAGCAAGACCAAGGAGACAAAGGGCAGACTGCGGCTGCTCCTGCTGCGGCGGCTGCGCCTGCTGCTGCGGCTGCTGCTGCGGCTGCTGCTGCGGCTGCAACTGCTCCCTGTCCTCTCCAAGACCTCCAGCGGCATCGCGGCTAACCCTCTCTTAGTCACAACCCTCTCCTAACATGGTTTCAGAGCAAGTCCTTTTGCTCGGGCCTTCTCACGCTTCCGCAAAGCACTCTCCCTCTCCTCCCACTAACGCGCCGCCACGACGGCCTCGTTGCGCGCAATGGCGGCCTCGATGCGCTGCTGTGGCGACCTTGTCGTGCTGCCGTGGCGGCCTCGTCGCGCTGCCGTGGCGGGCTCGACGTGCTGCCGTGGCGGCCTCGATGTACTGCCGTGGCGGCCTCGACGCGCTGCCGTGGTGGCCACGACCTGCTGCCATGGCAGCCTCGATGCGTGGTGGCCTCGTCGAGCAGCCGTGGCGGCCTCGCCGCGCTGCCGCGGTGGCCTCGTCGTGCTGCCGTGGCGTCGTCGTGCTGCCGTGGCGGCTTCGACGCGCCAGCGCACGGACGGTAACGGCCAACGCTCTGGTTTAGGCGCCAGCCAGCACGCCCATACGCTAGCCAGCGCTCCAGCCAGGGCGCCTCGCTGAAGGCTCGCCCCCTCCCCTGCGTCTCCCCTCATCCCAGCCGTAGCTGATGGCTCCCTTCCCCGTCGTCGTCGGGCCATGCCATGCCGCCGGGTGCCACGAGCTTCGCAGTCGCCGCCGCCGTCGTCGAAGCAGCCGCACTGCAAGTGCCGCTGGCTCCGCCGCCACCCCGCCACCGTCGCCACCGTTGTTGTCGTCGTAGCAGCCGCTGACGCCGTTGCTGCCACCCGCCGCTGATGTCGCCGTTTCTCACGCGGGGTAGAAGCCACAGCTGTTGCAGGACATGGGGGTGCAAGGGCTTGGGGGTGTTGCGTGTGTGGTGTGCACTCGCCTACCAAGCCTAGGGGGTGTGTCAACTTATATATATATACACACACACACATATATATATATATATATATATATATCTCTTTTGTATAGGCTTGGTAGGTATTCTACAATTCTGGATCCTACTGCAGAGAGGACAACCCCCCTTCTTGTACTGCTCTCTTTCGTAGTCGACCCTCTTTTCTCTCGCTAAACTTCTCCTACCTAGCTAAACCCTCTCCTAACACTTGCATGCCCTATGCATGCAGTTGCAGCTACAGGTGCAGATGCTATGTGTCTACTCCCTGCCTGCATTGAGCAGCGCCAAGAAGAAAGAGAAGAGGTTGAGCATATCGAGGTGGAGAGCCACTGACGCCCAGACGTACACAAGTGCGAAGATTCGCACCCCATGCAGCTCCTGTGCACCTCTAATTATTGCTGCTTGCATTAAGGAGGTCCAGCAGGAAAGAGAACAGGTTGATGATATCGCGGTAGAGCATCACGGACGCCCAGATGTACCCATCGTACGAATAACACTAGACAACCAAGCCTTAAAGCACTGATATGTACACGAGCCCTCCATGCAGGTGCTATGCCTAATCCCTGCCTGCATTCAGCAGGTCCAGCAGGAAAGAAAACAGGTTGATGATGTCGAGATAGAGCATCACGGACGCCCAGATGTATTCATCATACGAGTAGCGGTGCAGCAGGGCGGCGGTGTCGTAGATGATGTAGAGGCTGAAGATGATGGCCCCGATGGCCGCATACACCGTTGTGAAGAATGAACCGAAGGGGAAGAAGAGCTGGGAAAAAGAAGAGAGGGTAAATGGGGTGGGGGCAGTGAAGAGAATGGGACCCAGACAGGAGAAGAAGAGGGCTATAGAGCATAGGCAATGGGCATAATACCACAGTATACCCTTGCTTACTTTTGAGTCGACTCAAACGCCACCCTTGCTTGCCTGAATGATGGTCGAGAATACGAGGATGGAGAGCGCAGTGAAGAGAATGGGACCCAGCCAGGAGAAATCCTCCCCGTTGCGAGCAGCCCAGAAGGAGAAGAGCGAGAGAGAGACGACCACCACTGCTGTGAGGAGAATGGCCTCTAGCACGATGGCGGCTGGCACAGAAAGCACGCACGAAGGGAGGGAGAGCACAGAAAGAGTATGAGGGTGGGTTGAAATCCTCCCCGTTGCGAGCCGCCCAGAGGGAGAAGAGCGTGAGGGAGACCATAACTACTGCCGTCAGCCGTATGGCTTCTAGGACAATGGCGGCTGTAAAGAAAAAGGGATGATGAGAGAAACACAGTTAGGAAAATATGCTCCGAAAATCTGCTCCGTTGGGTGCAGCTTAAAAGGTGAAGAGCGTGAGGGAGACTACAACCACTGGCGCCAGAAGTATTGCTTCTAAGGCGATGCCGGTTGTGAAGGGACGGGGGAGGTGGAGAGCAGAAGGAAAGGGCAGGCAAGCAGGGGTGAAGAGCGTGAGCGAGTCGAACACCACTGCTGTCAGCAGTATGGCTTCTAGGATGATGGCGGCTGTTAACGGACGGGGAAGATGGAGAATGAAAAAGAAGGACACGGAGGGATGGTTCATGCTGCTTCACTACAAGATGGTACCCAGGTGAGCGCTTCTTGTACGGATACTACTGATCTTGTGGCGATAGTAGCGTTCCTTCAAATGTTACAAATCCGGATAAGTTGGGTGTTACCGAATTAACTGTTACTGAAGACGCGTGCTTTGACGCGCCTCATAACATGCTCAAATGCTACAGCTTCAGATTCATGACCAGAAGTTTCTAACTCGAGTGTTACATGGGACGAAGGCGCAAGGGAGGCTGAGGGTGATGCTCAAGGAGAGGGGGAGAAGAGGCGTGCTTTACCGTGCCTCAGAAAATGCTCAAATGCTACAGGTCCAGGTGTTTCTGATTCAGGTATTACCTGGGACGAAGGCGCATGAGAGGCCGAGGGTGACGCTGAAGGAGAGGGAGAAGAGGCCCAGGAGAATCAGGTTGAGGGGGTGGTGCTGGTGGTAGGCGGAGAGCGCACAGATCACTGCAGGAAGACAGGGAGAAGGGAACAACGGGGTGGACATCGGAGGAGAGAAGAAACTCCCAGGAGGATAAGGTTGAGGGGGTGCTGCTGGTGGTACGCTGAGAGTGCACAGATCACTGCGAGGGATAGAGAGAGGGGAGAAGGGGCGTGGACATGGAAGAGGGAGAAGAGGCCCAGAAGAATCAGGTTGAGGGGGTGGTGCTGGTGGTAGGCGGAGAGTGCACGAAAACTGGGAATTGAAAGAGCGAGAAGAAGAGCGGCAAGAAGGGGACATGGGGAAAAGGTGAGAAAGAAAATTGGAGTGTAGGCACGAGAAAAATACACGGGTGAGGTGGAGGAGGGGGTACAAGGGAGAAAGAGAATGAGAGATTGAAAGAGAAGAAGTGAACTCTTTACAGATGAAAGGGACGAAACAACTGGTGACGACGAGCGGTGGCGAGTGCGTGACAGTGAGCCAACTCAAGCAGAGGACAGTAAGTCAATAAATATGTGTTCCCTTGCAGATAAACGGGACAATGGCTCTGGCGATGACAAGCAGCGGCGGGTGCATGATAGCGAGTAGAGTCAAGAAGAGGACAGAGAGTCAACGCATCTGGGTTTCCTTACAGATGAAAGGGACGCCGAAGCTGGCAATGACAAGCAGCGGCGAGTGCACGACCGTGAGTGAGTCAAGCGGAGGACAGTGAAAAAATGCATCTGGGTTTCCTTACAGATGAACGGGACGATCATGCTGGCGATGACAAGCAGCGGCGAGTGCATGACAGTGAGTCGCACGGATTCCACCTTCACCACCACAGTCGCCGCCGCTAGGGTGAGCAGTAGCTGGAAGGACAGGATGCCGTACACCTGAAGGATTTGGGTAGAGGGGTTTGCGCAGCAGGATGGGGAAGAAGCAACGAGAGCATGATATGACAGTGAGTCGCACGCTTTCCACCTTCACTGCCACAGTCGGTGCTGCAAGTGTCCGCAGCAGCTGGAAGAACAGGATGCTGTACGGCTGAAGGATTTGAATAGTGGGGTTTGAGCAGCAGGATGGGGAATGGATCAGTGCATGACAGTGAGGAGTCTATTTTTGACAGTGAGGAGTCTATTTTTGACAGTGAGGAGTCTATTTTTGAGGCGCCTCAAAAATAGACTCCTCATGCATGACAGTGAGTCGCACGCTTTCCACCTTCACCACCACAGTAGCTGCCGCTAGGGTCCGCAGCAGCTGGAAGGACAGGATGCCGTACGCCTGAAGGGTTCAAAGAAAGGAGGCAAAAAAGAGGCGAGTGCGTGACGGTGAGCCGCCCAAATTCCACCTTCACCACCACCGTGGCCGCCGCGAGGGTGAGTAGCAGCTGGAAGGAGAGGATGCCGTATGCCTGAAGGATTAAATAAATGGAATCTGAGCAGCAGGGCGGGGTTTGAACAAAGGTGGGAGACAACAGGCGAGTGCATGGCGGTGAGCCGCACAGTTCACCACCACCGTGGCCGCCGCTAGGGTCAGTAGCAGCTGGAAGGAGAGGATAGCGTACACCTGAAGGGTTTGAGTGGAGGGTGGAGGAAGGAAATCTGGTGTGTCAGGGAGGCGAGCACGGAAGGTGAGCAGCAGCTGCGAGGGCAAAATGCCGTGCACCTTCAATTTGGTCAGTTTGGCTTGATCTGGGCAAGAGGGAGGGGACGACGCAGCGAGGGCGATTCCACCTTCACCACCGTCGCCGCTGCTCGAGTGAACAGCAGCTGCGAGGACAGGATGCCGTGCACCTTGAATTTGGCCAGTTTGGCTTGATTTGGGCAAGAGGGAGGGGACAACGCAGCGAGGGCATGTCGGTCAGTCGCACGGGTGCTATCACCACCACACAGTCGCTGCTGCTAGGGTGAGCAGCAGCTGCAACGATATGATGCCGTACACCTGGTCAGTTTGGTCAGCTTGGTTTGATTTGGGCAGGACGGAGGGGACGACGCAGCGAGGGTATGACAGTGAGTCGCACGGATTCCCCCTTCACCACCACCGTCGCTGCTGCTCGGGTGAGCAGCAGCTGCAAGGAGAGGATGCCGTACACCTGGAAAAGAGATTCAGAGTGGGAAAGGAGACTAAAGCGTGTCAGAGAGGAGAGCTAGGGTGAGCAGCAGCTGCAAGGAGAGGATGCCGTACGCCTGGAGGATTTGGATGGGGGTGACAAAAATCAGGGAGTGAATTCTAATATCGCTACCCGTCACGAACTCGGGTTTGCGCAGTCGTGTAGCATCGCTGACCGCGAGATAAAAGAGTGCTTCTATCGAAGCTGTCAACAGGAAGGAAATGCGGCGTGAATCTACGTTCTGAAAGAAGGCCCATCGCAGGGAGGGGTCTTGAAACACGTCGCCTCCGCCGGATAACAATCTAGTGTTGAGTCGAGACATCTCAAAACTTGATTATTATCACGTGAGTCTACCTTTTGCACGAAGGCCCATCGCAGGGACGGGTCTTGAAACACGTCGCCTCCGCCGGATTCAACGTCCGAATACCCCGTTGGAAACTTCTGCGAACCGTACGAAGGCCATGCTGACGTGGCCATCACTGTTTCCCCTCGAGAAACTGAGTAGAAGAAATTATATACCCACTCCTAATTGTTCCTCTGTCGAAGCGCGAATAACCCTGGACGATGCGAGATGGACAGATGGGGGCTGGAAGATAAAAGCGACAGCCACAAGCCGTAGGAATCTCTAATGAGAGATCAAAGACTGGAGACTGGATACTTGATGTGGAAGAAAGAAAGTAGACTACGACTCAGGAGTCACATAGGGGCATTCTGGAGTGGGAGCTAAAATGGGTTGAGGAAGAAATTCGGGAGCTTCGCGAAGAGCCGTCCGCGAAGCATGATTGGAGAAGATACGCGTTTCGTGAACACTCCAGAAGCCGAATTCTCGCAGAAACACCTGGGAACACCCAAGCAGTATGAAGGATATGGTTTGCACTGATGGCCGAAATGGTGATTTGTGATATTTGAAAATACGAAGCTTTTACAGATCATCTTGGCTTACAGAGTGGAGTGTATTGAGGAGCTCCGATAACCTGTTGCATATCCGCTATAGAGCAGAATTTCACCCAGTTCGCCCACTTTGTGAATATCCTGCCACGCCCAGTCCCGCACTGGCGCGCGTCATTCCCAAGGTCCCCGCCAAGCGTCTGCGGAGCCGGAACCGCCCCCCCCGTGAGAACTCCGCCGCTTTCCGCCTGCTCCTGGAAAGAAATGCAAGCCTTTCCGTCAGCAGCAGCCCGCCGTTCCGCCCCTGCATCAGGTTTAGGATATTCCCGAGCCACACCAGCGAATATGCCCCTCGGGTACAGTATTTTTTGCAAGGCTTTTCTGGGCCATTTAGGAGTGGATTTAGAAGCCAGTTCTGCACTTCCACAAGCTGCAGCAGGGTTCTTAGGGACCGCATTCAGGATCCTGTCGGCTTCCGCCGCAAATTCGTCTGCTAAAGTCGTTGCGCGGTGTCCCTTCCATTCCTTTCTCCCATTTCTCTTCCTCCTGAGACGGAGAGGGCTCGACCTTGTGCCGCGTTAGATTTCCTCGGCGTTGCGATCTTGGTAGTGCCAAGTACTTAGGCACCACCAGGCCACGCTATTATACTTTCCCCTTTCCCCACTCTAGCAAAATGCAGGCCGCATCCGGTCTTGTTTCTCGCCAGATTCATCCCCCGTCGCTCCACGCCTTACAACCCTCTCCCCTCCGCGAAACCCTCTCTCCCGCAAAAACATCTCCCTCATTTTCCGGCCATCAGTTTCAGCTGCCCGCAAAATGCCCGAACCAGATCGCGCAGCGGCTCCCGCCGATCTCCTCCATTTCGCAGCTCCCGGCGAATATAGGCCAGTCCATCCGGCCCGGCGGGCCACGTCAGATCAACGGCGCGGTGATGTGGCAACAGCTGGCAGGCGAGGATTGGGTGGCGCTCCGGGATAACCGCTCCGACACGCGGCTCCGGATATTCTCGGGGACGGCGAATCCGCAGCTCTCTCAGGTTAGTAAGTACGAAAGGATGGGTATTTATTTGTCTGGGTATTTATTAGGATTCTTATGGTATACTCACCATGCCGCACCGCGTCTCCTCCCCTTCCGTAGATATTTCTTCGGGGTATCGCGTCGAATGGGGTTGGAGCTGAGCCGAGTGAAGGTCCAGCGATTCGCCGACGGCGAGATCTACGTGCAGCTGCAGGAGAGCGCGCGCGGGGGCTCTGAGTGTTTCCCAGCTATCTTTCTTTTTCCCCTCACGCAACACGTGATATAAGGTTGGTTTTGAGACGTCTCAAAACCAGCTATCTTTCTTTTCCCCCTCACGCAACACGTGATATAAGGTTGGTTTTGAGACGTCTCAAAACCAGCTATCTTTCTTTCACCCTCACGCAACACGTGATATAAGGTTGGTTTTGAGACGTCTCGAAACCAGCTATCTTTCTTTTCCCCCTCACGCAACACCCCCTCCCCTCCCTCCCGTCCATCGTTCTTCCAGGAGATCGCGTCGTGCATGGGGCTCGAGCTAGGCAGGGTTACAGTGAAGCGCTTCGCGGACGGCGAGATCTACGTGCAGCTGCAGGAGAGCGCGCGGGGGTGCGACGTGTGCCCTGGTGGTTCTCCTGCCTTTCCCGCTCAGCGCACATTTCCCACATCCCCTCGTCCCAACCCCGATTTTTCAGGCGCCTCAAAAAACATTTCCCACATCCCCTCGTCCCAACCCCAGGAAATAGCCTCGTGCATGGGGCTTGAGCTCGGGCGAGTGAAGGTGAAGCGGTTCGCGGACGGCGAGATCTACGTGCAGCTGCAGGAGAGCGTGCGCGGGTGCGACGTGTTTCTGGTGCAGCCGACGTGTCCGCCCGCCAACGAGAACCTCATGGAGCTGCTCGTCATGATCGATGCCTGTAGGAGGGCGTCTGCTAAAACCATCACTGCTGTGATTCCGTACTTCGGCTACGCGCGCGCTGACAGAAAGGTGCGCTTTGGGGCGCAACAGAATGGGCGAGCGAGCGTAAGGAAGAGAGGAAGAGAGGGGAAGGGGAGGGGGCAAAGGTGGGAGAGAGGGGAAGAGGGGAGTGGGGTGCGACGTGTTCCTGGTGCAGCCCACGCGTCCCCCTGCCAATGAGAACCTCATGGGCTGTTGGTCAAGGTCGACGCCTGTCGGCGGGCCTCGGCCAAGACGATCACTGCGGTGATTCCGTACTTGGGCTATGCCCGCGCTGACAGAAGGGTTCGCATTCCCTTCCCTCTCCGCCCCTCCTTCTCCCCCCCTCGCTCTCCCCCCTCCTCCTCCCCCCCTCGTTCTCCCCCCTCCTCCTCCCCCCTCGTTCTCCCCCTCCTCCTTCCCCCCTCGTTCTCCCCCTCCTCCTTCCCCCCTCGTTCTTCCCCCTCCTCCTTCCCCCCTCGTTCTTCCCCCTCCTCCTTCCCCCCCTCGTTCTTCCCCCTCCTCCTTCCCCCCTCGTTCTTCCCCCTCCTCCTTCCCCCTCGTTCCCCCCCCTCCCCCCTCGTTCTCCCCTCCTCCTTCCCCCTCGTTCTTCCCCCTCCTCCTTCCCCCCTCGTTCTTCCCCCTCCTCCTTCCCCCCTCGTTCTTCCCCTCCTCCTTCCCCCCTCGTTCTTCCCCCTCCTCCTTCCCCCTCGTTCTCTCCCCTCCTCCTTCCCCCTCGTTCTTCCCCCTCCTCCTTCCCCCCTCGTTCTCTCCCCTCCTCCTTCCCCCCTCGTTCTTCCCCCTCCTCCTCCCCCCTCGCTCTTCCCCTCCTCCTTCCCCCCTCGTTCTCCCCCTCCTCCTTCCCCCCTCGTTCTTCCCCTCCTCCTTCCCCCCTCGTTCTTCCCCTCCTCCTTCCCCCCTCGTTCTTCCCCTCCTCCTTCCCCCTCGTTCTCTCCCTCCTCCTTCCCCCCTCGTTCTTCCCCCTCCTCCTCCCCCCTCGCTCTTCCCCCTCCTCCTTCCCCCCTCGTTCTCCCCCCTCCTCCTTCCCCCCTCGTTCTTCCCCTCCTCCTTCCCCCTCGTTCTTCCCCTCCTCCTCCCCCCTCGCTCTTCCCCTCCTCCTTCCCCCTCGTTCTCCCCCTCCTCCTTCCCCCTCGTTCTTCTCCCTCCTCCTTCCCCCCTCGTTCTTCCCCTCCTCCTCCCCCCTCGCTCTTCCCCCTCCTCCTTCCCCCCTCGTTCTCCCCCTCCTCCTTCCCCCCTCGTTCTTCCCCCTCCTCCTCCCCCCTCGTTCTTCCCCTCCTCCTTCCCCCTCGTTCTTCCCCCTCCTCCTCCCCCCCTCGCTCTTCCCCCTCCTCCTTCCCCCCTCGTTCTCCCCCTCCTCCTTCCCCCCTCGTTCTTCCCCCTCCTCCTTCCCCCCTCGTTCTCCCTCCTCCTCCTTCCCCCCTCGTTCTTCCCCTCCTCCTCCCCCCCTCGCTCTTCCCCTCCTCCTTCCCCCCTCGTTCTCCCCCCTCCTCCTTCCCCCCTCGTTCTTCCCCTCCTCCTTCCCCCCTCGTTCTCTCCCCTCCTCCTTCCCCCCTCGTTCTTCCCCCTCCTCCTCCCCCCTCGCTCTTCCCCCTCCTCCTTCCCCCCTCGTTCTTCCCCCTCCTCCTCCCCCCCTCGTTCTTCCCCCTCCTCCTTCCCCCCTCGTTCTTCCCCCTCCTCCTCCCCCCTCGCTCTTCCCCCTCCTCCTTCCCCCTCGTTCTCCCCCCTCCTCCTTCCCCCCTCGTTCTTCCCCCTCCTCCTTCCCCCCTCGTTCTCCCCCCTCCTCCTTCCCCCTCGTTCTTCCCCCTCCTCCTTCCCCCCTCGTTCTTCCCCCTCCTCCTCCCCCCCTCGCTCTTCCCCCTCCTCCTTCCCCCTCGTTCTTCCCCCTCCTCCTCCCCCTCGCTCTTCCCCTCCTCCTTCCCCCTCGTTCTCCCCCTCCTCCTTCCCCCCTCGTTCTTCCCCCTCCTCCTTCCCCCCTCGTTCTCCCCCTCCTCCTTCCCCCCTCGTTCTTCCCCCTCCTCCTCCCCCCCTCGCTCTTCCCCCTCCTCCTTCCCCCCTCGTTCTCCCCCTCCTCCTTCCCCCCTCGTTCTTCCCCCTCCTCCTTCCCCCTCGTTCTCTCCCCTCCTCCTTCCCCCTCGTTCTTCCCCCTCCTCCTCCCCCCTCGCTCTTCCCCCTCCTCCTTCCCCCCTCGTTCTTCCCCCTCCTCCTCCCCCCTCGTTCTTCCCCCTCCTCCTTCCCCCCTCGTTCTTCCCCCTCCTCCTCCCCCCTCGCTCTTCCCCTCCTCCTTCCCCCTCGTTCTCCCCCTCCTCCTTCCCCCTCGTTCTTCCCCCTCCTCCTTCCCCCCTCGTTCTCTCCCTCCTCCTTCCCCCTCGTTCTTCCCCCTCCTCCTCCCCCCTCGCTCTTCCCCCTCCTCCTTCCCCCTCGTTCTTCCCCCTCCTCCTCCCCCCTCGTTCTTCCCCTCCTCCTTCCCCCCTCGTTCTTCCCCCTCCTCCTCCCCCCCTCGCTCTTCCCCTCCTCCTTCCCCCCTCGTTCTCCCCCCTCCTCCTTCCCCCTCGTTCTTCCCCTCCTCCTTCCCCCTCGTTCTCCCCCCTCCTCCTTCCCCCTCGTTCTTCCCCCTCCTCCTTCCCCCTCGTTCTTCCCCTCCTCCTCCCCCCCTCGCTCTTCCCCTCCTCCTTCCCCCTCGTTCTTCCCCCCTCCCCCCCTCGCTCTCCCCCTCCTCCCCCCCTCGTTCTCCCCCCTCCTCCTTCCCCCCTCGTTCTTCCCCTCCTCCTTCCCCCTCGTTCCCCCCTCCTCCTTCCCCCTCGTTCTCCCCCTCCCCCCCCTCGCTCTTCCCCCCTCCTCCTTCCCCCTCGTTCTCCCCCTCCTCCTTCCCCCCTCGTTCTTCCCCCTCCTCCTTCCCCCCTCGTTCTCTCCCCTCCTCCTTCCCCCCTCGTTCTTCCCCCTCCTCCTCCCCCCCTCGCTCTTCCCCCTCCTCCTTCCCCCCTCGTTCTTCCCCCTCCTCCTCCCCCCCTCGTTCTTCCCCTCCTCCTTCCCCCTCGTTCTTCCCCCTCCTCCTCCCCCCTCGCTCTTCCCCTCCTCCTTCCCCCCTCGTTCTCCCCCCTCCTCCTTCCCCCCTCGTTCTTCCCCCTCCTCCTTCCCCCTCGTTCTCCCCCCTCCTCCTTCCCCCTCGTTCTTCCCCCTCCTCCTCCCCCCTCGCTCTTCCCCCTCCTCCTTCCCCCCTCGTTCTCCCCCCTCCTCCTTCCCCCCTCGTTCTTCCCCCTCCTCCTTCCCCCCTCGTTCTTCCCCCTCCTCCTCCCCCCCTCGTTCTTCCCCCTCCTCCTTCCCCCCTCGTTCTTCCCCCTCCTCCTTCCCCCCTCGTTCTTCTCCCTCCTCCTTCCCCCTCGTTCTCCCCCTCCTCCTTCCCCCCTCGTTCTTCCCCCTCCTCCTTCCCCCCTCGTTCTCTCCCCTCCTCCTTCCCCCTCGTTCTTCCCCCTCCTCCTCCCCCCTCGCTCTTCCCCCTCCTCCTTCCCCCCTCGTTCTCCCCCTCCTCCTTCCCCCTCGTTCTCCCCCTCCTCCTTCCCCCCTCGTTCTTCCCCCTCCTCCTCCCCCCCTCGTTCTTCCCCTCCTCCTTCCCCCCTCGTTCTTCCCCCTCCTCCTTCCCCCTCGCTCTTCCCCCTCCTCCTTCCCCCCTCGTTCTCCCCCTCCTCCTTCCCCCCTCGTTCTTCCCCCTCCTCCTTCCCCCTCGTTCTTCCCCTCCTCCTCCCCCCCTCGTTCTTCCCCCTCCTTCCCGCCACGTGCGCGGCCGCCATCGAGAATCTGACGGAGCTCCTTCCGCTCCTCGTCATGATCTGGCATTCTCCCTTGTGCCCCTCTCTCCTCTCTCCTCTCTCCTCGCTCCTCTCTCGTCATGAGAGGGGTACCCCTCTCTCCTCTCTCCTCGCTCAACTTACGCTACCCTTCCATACCCTAACTAACTCTTTCCTTCCCCTCATCCTCCTCCCCCTCCTCTTTATAGACCCAAGGCCGCGAGTCGATTGCAGCGACCCTCGTCGCGATTCTTATTACAGAGGCGGGAGCCAACCGCGTGCTGGCTCCTCTCCCATGTTACCCTCCAATATCCCCCTCTCCGCCCTCTCTCTCCCCCTCTCTCCCGCCCTCTCTCCCCCCCTCTCTCCCGCCCTCTCTCTCCCCTCTCTCCCCCCTCTCTCTCCCCCTCTCTCCCTCCCTCTCTCTCCCCCTCTCTCCCGCCCTCTCTCTCCCCTCTCTCCCGCCCTCTCTCTCCCCCTCTCTCCCTCCCTCTCTCCCCCTCTCTCCCCCTCTCTCCCGCCCTCTCTCTCCCCCTCTCTCCCTCCCTCTCTCCCCTCTCTCCCTCCCTCTCTCCCCCTCTCTCCCTCCCTCTCTCCCCCTCTCTCCCTCCCTCTCTCCCCCCCTCTCTCCCTCCCTCTCCCCCCCCCCACCCAACCCCACCCCCCGTTTCCCCCTCTTCCCCTCCTTCACTGCAGACCCAAGGCCGCGAGTCGATTGCAGCGAAGCTGGTGGCCAATCTGATTACAGAGGCGGGGGCCAACCGCGTGCTGGCTCCTCTCCCATGCTGCTCTCCTGGATTCCCCTCCAATTCTTCAACCCGCCCTTCCCTACCTCCCCCGAATCCCCCCCTTCCCTCCCGTCCTTCCCCGCACCAACAGACCCAAGGCCGCGAGTCGATTGCGGCGAAGCTGGTGGCCAACTTGATTACAGAGGCGGGGGCCAACCGCGTGCTGGCGTGCGACCTGCACTCGGGGCAGAGCATGGGGTACTTCGACATCCCTGTGGACCACGTGTATGGGCAGGTGAGGACGGGCGGGGTGTGGGTGGGGTAGGTGTTGACTATAGGGTTGTAGCGCGAATCGAGGTGGGCGTGCGACCTGCACTGGGGGCAGAGCATGGGTTACTTCGACATCCCCGTGGATCATGCGTATGGGCAGGTGAGGCTTGTGATTGTAGCGCCCGAAGGCAAGAAAAGGGGCCCTGATGACCTGCACTCGGGGCAGAGCATGGGGTACTTCAACATCCCCATGGACCACGTGTAGGGGCGTTTGATAGTAGGGGCTGTGAATGTACGGTTGTGATATCAGGGTTCCAAGGCAAAGAGGGGGGGTCTGGTGACCTGCACTGGGGGCAGAGCATGGGGTACTTCAACATCCCCATGGACCACGTGTATTGGCAGGTGAGGGTGATTGTAGGGGCTGTGATAATAGGGTTATAGGGCAAAGAGGGGGGGCTAGTGACCTGCGCTCGGGCCAGAGCATGGGGCGTTTTCTATCCCCATGGACCACGTGTTTGGGCCGGTGAGGGGAGTCAGGTGTATGGGTCACTTCTAGTGTAACTCCACAAACCGCTTCCAACTCAAGCCCCACGTTATCTCTCTTTTCCCATCCCCCCACTTCCCCAGCCTGTGATTCTGGACTACCTCGCCAGCAAGATGCTCTCATCAAACGATCTGGTAGTCGTCTCGCCAGACGTTGGCGGAGTGGCCAGGGCTAGGGCCTTCGCCAAGCGCCTGTCGGACGCTCCCCTGGCGATTGTGGACAAGAGGCGGCAGAGCCACAACGTGGCAGAGGTGAGAGAGAGGGGAGCATGGGTGAAAGGGGGGGGGAATTCTGGAAGAGAGGGCAGAGAGGGGAATGAACTTGGCTCCCTGTTGCCAAGCGCCAGTCGGACGCGCCCCTGGCGATTGTGGACAAGAGGCGGCACAGCCACAACGTGGCAGAGGTGAGAGAAAGGGAGGGCTATTAGTAGGGGGTTAAAGAGGTGGCTGGGGGAACCAATGCAAAAAGTGGGAGGTAAAAACCCCTTCCTTTTTTGCCAAGCGGCTGTCGAGACCGCCCCTGGCGATTGTGGAAAAGAGGCGGCAGAGCCCCAACGTGGCAGAGGTGAGTGAACGAGCCGATTTGTGGTTGGCGAAGTGGAAGGAGCAGGGGAGACCCCCCATCTTCCTATTCCAAGCGCCTGTCGGATGCGCCCCTGGCGATTGTGGACAAGAGGCGGCAGAGCCACAACGTGGCTGAGGTGAGGGGGAGGGGGCAATTGGTGGGGCGAGAGAGGTGGGTCTGGTGAGGTCTGGGATGGGAACCACATTCAATAAGGGGGAGATATTTCCCTGGCGATTGTGGACAAGAGGCCGCAGAGCCACAACGTGGCTGAGGTGAGGGGGAGGGGGCAATTGGTGGGGCGAGAGAGGTGGGTCTGGTGAGGTCTGGGATGGGAACCACATTCAATAAGAGGGAGATATTTCCCTGGCGATTGTGTACAAGAGGCCGCAGAGCCACAACGTGGCTGAGGTGAGGGGGAGGGGGCAATTGGTGGGGTGAGAGAGGTGGGTCTGGTGAGGCCTGGGATGGGAACCACATTCAATAAGAGGGAGATATTTCCCTGGCGATTGTGGACAAGAGGCCGCAGAGCCACAAGGTGGCTGAGGTGAGGGGGAGGGGGCAATTGGTGGGGCGAGAGAGGTGGGTCTGGTGAGGCCTGGGATGGGAAGCACATGCAAAAAGACAGGGATGTTTCCTTGGCGATTGTGGACAAGAGGCGGCAGAACCATTAGGTGGCTGAGGTGAAAGGGAGGGGCTATTTGGGAGGTGAAAGTGGCAGTCCTGGTTGATGATATGATTGACACGCATGCACGTTGCATGCTCGGCACACTCCTGTCCCCCGCTCCCTCCCTTACCCCCCTTACGGTCCCCGTTCAGGTGATGCACCTGATTGGAGACGTGAAGGGGAAAGTAGCAGTGATGGTGGATGATATGATAGACACGGCTGGCACCATTGCATGCAACCCCCATCTGACCCCCTCCTTTTTCCCGCGGTGTGCCACTTGTCATAATCAGGTGATGAACCTAATCGGTGATGTCAAGGGGAAAGTAGCGGTGATGGTGGATGATATGATTGACACGGCCGGCACCATTGCTAAGGGCGCTGCTCTGCTGCACGAGGAGGGGGCTAGCGAGGTCTATGCCTGCTGCACCCACGCTGTCTTTAGGTGAGAGTTTAAGTGGTCGAGTATGATTTGCGCTCGTTGGTAGTACCTGATTAGGGCTCTACTGCATGAGGAGCCAGTGAGGTCTATGCCTGATGTGAACATGCACGCCTTGTTTACGTAAGGGCCGATTTTAGGTAAGTGCAATGTGTGTTGTGGAATTGGTTCTTCAGGAAGGGATTGTAGCCAACAGTTTTCTCTCACCCACTTCACCATGACCACCTATCTTGAACAAACGCTTCAAACCCATATTCTGAACATTTTCCCACCCAAACCCCACCCTCTTCCTCCTCCCTATTCTGTTTTCCATATTCCCACCAGCCCCCCGGCCATAGAGCGTCTGTCTAGTGGCCTTTTCCAGGAGGTGATTGTGACCAACACCATCCCGCTGACTGAGGATAAACTTTTCCCGCAGCTGACCGTGCTGTCGGTGGCGAATCTGCTGGGCGAAACCATCTGGCGTGTGCATGATGACACCTCGGTGAGCAGCCTTCTGGGCGACCTGTAGCTCCTGCACTGTAAGCTCAGGTACTGTAAGCACTTGAGGCGCTTTGTGCCAACTGCTTTTGTACTGTAGCTGTATGCAAGGTATTTCTTAATCAATGTACTCTCCCTTGTTATTTCGAATTGCTCTTCATTCTGTGCACTTGGATTTACAGCTGTCTTCTGAGCAGCACCCAGCAGCGGCTGGCATGGACATTGATTGAATATGGTGATACAGTCTACACCTCGTCCAGAACTCAACCTGCAGATTACAATGCGTGTGCATTAGGAGTTCACTTCACAAAGCTATCCCAGGAGAACGGATTGCTGTCACTGCACCCACCCTGTGTGTGGGTGTGCATGCACATACACATGAAATATTCTACATTGTGCATTCTGAAATAATGAGAAATGATAAACATTGTATGCACTACATGCTGAACACTGCCTTCAATAGTCTACCATCTCGTTCATGTAGGAGGTCATCTGAGCCATGGATGCTGAAGCAGCTCTCTACAGGATGGTCGGTGGGATGGATTCACAGCCAACATTCTCTTGACCAGGCCTTCCGCTTCAGCAGAGATTGAATGCCAGGGCCCAGAAACCACGTCCAGCTGTCCAGCACAAATTAACTTCTTCATAATGCTCCTCTTTGACGAATAAAATGGCCATCTTCCTGCGAGCATAGTGTAGAGGATTACCCCCAAGCTCCACACGTCCACCTTCTCGTTGTATTTCAATCTGCACAGCAGTTCAGGAGCCGTGTAGGGCAGGCTTCCTGCCGCTCCACCGATGAAGCCCTCCCTTCTACATGTCACAGCCTGGCCAAAATCTGTCAGCTTAACTTGGAGAGAACTTTGAACGGCCCCAGATTCTGCATTGGCAACTGGAGATTTACATGATTGATCCGATGAATGAAAAAATGCCGCAAAGACAGAACTCAGTGGTTCCTTCAAAGTACTGAGGTCATCAGACGACGGATCGGCAGGAGGTGAAGGCTCTGATTGCTGACGTGTAATCAGGACGTTGTCAGGCTTCAGATCGCGATGAACCACGCCGTGCTCGTGGCAAAACGCCACCGCCGTTACCAATTGACGAAAAATCTTCGCAGCTTCGACTTCAGGAACCTGACCTCTTCTGCTGATGTAACCCAAGAGATCGCCACCTGAGCACCTCTCCATCACGAAATATATCGCTGAAGGGTCCTCGTAAACTCTTTGCAGGGAAACGATGTTGCAATGGCACCCTAATTCCCGCATAATCTGCATTTCCCGTCGTAATTCCCACTTGTCCTCCTCATTCCTGATCAAATTCTTCAGAATCACTTTACAGGCTAAACATTGACCTGTTTTCTTCTCCACGCACTCGAACACTGAACCGAATGAGCCTTTACCGAGGACGTCACCGAGGGAATAGACGTCGTCAGGAAACTCGGAGGTCCAAGGAATCACCCGATCCGGCGAGTGTTCAGTATACCACGGGAAAAGACCCATCAGTGCTAAGGGAAGACAGAGAAACCAATACCGGGTTCCATATGAGAGGAAACCTAGGCTCGGTCGAAATACATATGGAGTCGAGGTGAGGGCTTGTAGGTGCAGATTGCGGCATACAAACTGGCGAGTGGGAAGGAACTCCTGATTGGATCTGTGTCGTGGCTGGTTGCTGTGTGATCAAGGGGACACAGCACGGAGAATTGAACGGCATAACGCTGATGCCTTCACACCTGGCTGTGACAACACACCAGAGAGCAACCCCTGCAGCGCCGATGCAAGCCCAGGTGGAGAAAGCAGCAGGGGGAAGGACGGGCTTTGATTTGAACGGCTGCGATGGCTTTCGTGCTGAAGAAATCGCGGAAGAGGAAGTGGGGCATCAACTTGGCAGAAAAGTTTTCCGCTCACGCCAGCACGCTGCACGCGCAGCAGGTGGTGCGAGGAAAAGCGGGTGGGACCACACGCATCACACATGGCGGAGCGGGGGCTGCGCCGTTCGATGGGTTGGGGGAACGAGAAGCCAGTGACAAGTTCTCCGCGGCAGCCAGGTGGCGGAGGATCTGTGAGGCATTGCTTGCGCTAGACTGACTGGGACTGACCCGGGTGCAGGACATTTTGGAATATTTCTGACGCATTCCACGTCATGTAAAACGCGTCATGAAACCCATCCTCGCCACTAGCTTGTCCGTTTTAGAATTTCTCTGACTGGAATTGGTTCGGCTGCTGCGGAGTCATTATGCTTGGAACACAAAAATCATGGGTGGCAGGGTTCCCTCTTATAAGCACATGTCTGATTCCGGGAAAATTACTGCCGCGGACTGCCCACAAATCTTTTCATACTTTCGTGGACAGCCCCTACTTTCACGGACACCACATCAACCTTTCGCTTCTCCCGTGGACTCCTTCCCTACTTTCATGGACATCCGCCTTACTTCCATGGACAAAGTCGACATCGCAGGAAATAGGCGAAAACTCAACTGTACAAAAAATGACGGGCGCTGAAAAAAAAAGAGCAGCGGCTCAGCGTGCGTCGCAAAGGGTTGCACACTACAGTGCCCCAAACCAAAATCCGAAACAGAATCTACCAGAAATTGGGAACATGACTTCCACGCCAGGTTTTCGTTTGGTGCGTTTCGCACAGTAAGTCCTGTGACGTGTGATTCGGCAGGCAGTACCCACACGTTTCTACGTTACTGTGCTTCAGAAGGAAAAATCGGTACGCTCTGTAAATTTGTCTACCAGTTCCGACTAGTGCTGCTGCTGTTGTTGTTTACATCATATTCGCAAAATGAAAGGTTTCCTTCAACGATTAATGTTTTTGGAGAATTTCCCTGCATAACTTCCACAATAAATTATGTTTTTTACCAAATTTTTAAATAAAAATGCTTCTTATAAATATAATTCTGATTGCCCGCAAAATCGTTCAGACACTCTCAAACTGGCATTCAAAAAACAGGTAAGGTTACAAATCTTTGGGGTGAATAGAGGAGTGTACTAAGTGAAGGCGACAATTCAAATCGGATGACTTGGACCACATGGCGATGTGCGCATAACATATGTCATCATATACGACCGAGCGGGGTTGCAAGCGAAAGATTAGAGATGCCCATGCGGAACACTCCCTTATCCTCTTTGCTACCAAAGTCCCTCTCCTGTCCATCAAACCCAATATGCTCATGGTGCTCCTGCCATACCGTTTCCTGAGATTCGGAGAAGGGAAGGCCTATGTCATTGAGTACCACTGCCCACGGTTGTGTACCTTGCCATATTTCCAGCATATCATAAAGCATATATATAAATCTTCTGTTCGAGCTACCTCGGTACACGTCGAACTAAATTACTAAAATCTTGCAACAGATGGGGAAAGAGAGTTACGATGTGGGGGGGGAGGGGGGGGGGAGAGAGAGAGAGAGAGGGGGAGAGGAAGAGAGAGAGAGAGAGAGAGAGAGAGAGAGAGAGAGAGAGAGAGAGAGAGAGAGAGAGAGAGAGAGAGAGAGAGAGAGAGAGAGCGAGAGAGAGAGAGAGAGAGAGAGAGAGAGAGAGAGAGAGAGAGAGAGAGAGAGAGAGAGAGAGAGAGAGGTTGAGAGAGAGATAGAAAGAGAGAGAGAGCGAGAGGGAGAGAGTGTGTGAGACAGAGAGTGCGAGATTGAGAGAGAAAGAGAGAGAGAGAGAGAGAGAGAGAGAGAGAGAGAGAGAGAGAGAGAGAGAGAGAGAGAGAGAGAGGGAGAGGGAGAGGGAGAGATAGATAGATAGAGAGAGAGAGAGAGAGAGAGAGAGAGAGAGAGAGAGAGAGAGAGAGAGAGAGAGAGAGAGAGAGAGAGAGAGAGAGAGAGCGAGAGAGAGAGAGAGAGCGAGAGAGAGAGAGAGAGCGAGAGAGAGAGAGAGAGAGAGAGAGAGAGAGAGAGAGAGAGAGAGAGAGAAGGGTACTCTCAGGGTGGCACAAATAAGGATAGTCTCACAACACGAAAAAATGGTTCGTGCCATTCACGACAGGTTCCCATTAATGAATATATGAGATACAACTTCAATTGTAAAAGATAGTTATTAAATTCAACGCGGAAACCAACTATTGTAAGTATGGTGTCGCATCTTACGGATTAAACCAGGGGGTTGTGAGCCCAACGTACATCATTGTTAAAGCAGTGTGTAGCATAGAGGGCCTACGTCGATAGAATGGGGTGCGAAAAATTGGGATGTGGGTGGGATCTATATGATGTTTCCATCTAATAACAAGTACATATACAACTTCTGCTGGCCACCACTACAATATTGGCTGCATTAGCAACTCCTTTTTTTTTTATGACTACCCACATTTAGGTTCCCAACATTGTAGCGAGTTAAAGGGGAGAGAAAAAGGGGGTGGTTAATAAGGCTAGGTGACAAAATCAGCATGTGGGAGAAGATGCATGGGAGGGGGTGGAGATTGTGGCTTAAAGCGGATCAAACAGGTGGAGAGGGGCTGTCTCGGAAGGCAGATCAGTCAAGTGAGAAGGCGCGGCGGGCGGCTGGCAATGTAGAGGGGAGTTAAAGGAAAGTGAACTCAAGAAAGGCTTCATCATCTTCCTGGAAACACATGAGGGTGGGGTTTGGGGAAGGAGACTGGCGGAACTTGGTGATGGAAGTGAAAAAGCAAAGGTAGTTGAGGCAGGTGGTTGGGGGAAGGAACTATAATGAGGCAGCAGTGGGGAAGGTCCAGCTGTTTTTTCTGGAACGGCCTTCCCTGCTGCCATCCCTGACCCTGTTGCTGCTGCCCAACATGGCCCTCATGCCGCTGCCCCAGCTGCTGCTGCCCAAGCAGGCCTCTCTTCTGCCAATGCTGCTGCTACTGTTGCTGCCGCTGCCGCTGCCGCCGCTGCTGCCGCCGTCGCCGCCGCTGCTGCTATTGCTACTGATGCTTCTGTGGGTGGTGGTGGTGATGATGCTGCTGCTGCTGGTGTTGGTGTTGGTGTTGCCACGACAGCAGCTGCTCCCATCCTGGCCCTGCTGTTGCTGTCCAAACAGCCCTGCCTGCTGCCCCTCTCTGTTGCTGCTGCTGTCCAAACAGCCCTGCCTGCTGCCCACTCTGTTGCTGCTGCTGGTGCTAGTATTTCCATATGTAGTCACGTCATACTTACTCCCCGTTATTATCTACCTCTCTCGCCTCCGAGCCTGCCCCATACTTTCCTCTACAAGTGCGTCGATTGTGCCGCGTCATCTTGTGACAAGTGCTGCATTTGATTGGACGCTTCGGTGCCTCACATCGTATAATCACTGGACGTCTTCCAACACCCCTCGGCACAAAATTTGGAGGATCACACACACCGTGAGCGGGATTTGCATTCTCCTGCATGACGCGGTCAATACAAGCCCCCATCATTGGAGTGCTGTAGGTAGCTCTCCAATTGGCTGCAGTGAAATAGGAGGAGATGTAATCCTCTGGATCCTTCCCCTTTTCGCGCATCATAGCAAAAGCATGTGAGCATGGAAACTGATATTGCTTCCAATTGCCACACTCGCACCACTTCGTGTCAATGTTCACGTTGAACGACATTGGTGAAGTCCACGGTGACCCTCGATTTGTCACAACCCCAGCTCCACCAATGGATGAGCATTCAACAATATAATTCTCCGCCCGGTGCCGCTTGTTCTCAAACCTTTCAGCAGCCTTGGGAGTCAGGAACCCGTCATTCTCACCCGCGTCCTCACTTGCCTCGTAAAGCCTTTTCATCATCCAATCCCACAGGGTTGCAAGCATGTATGCTGGTGGGAGCTTGCGGGTTTTCTTTATGGCAGCATTGATGGACTCTGCCATGCTGCTTGCAAAGATACCGAAATGCACCGTGGGTGCGTGGAAGTGGGCCCAGTGCTTCTCGTCTATCTTGATGTAATGAGTACGTTTTTTTGCCCATCTCATGCCAGTGCATACTCGGATACCAGATTCTGTCTCATCCGTATGCGGCTCGGGCTGAGCACCACCGTCAGGGCCGTCGATGTTCTCAATGCCCTGACCCTGCTGCTGCTGACCCTGCTGCTGCTGCCCACCCTGGTTCTGATGACCCTGACCCTGCTGCTGCTGCTGCCTACCCTGATTCTGCTGCCCTGACCCTGCTGCTGTTGCTGCCCGCCCTGGTTCTGCTGCCCCTGACCCTGCTGCTGCTGCCCACCCTGGTTCTACTGCCCCTGACCCTGCTGCTGCTGACCCTGCTGCTGCTGCCCACCCTGGTTCTGCTGACCCTGACCCTGCTGCTGCTACTGCCTACCCTGATTCTGCTGCCCCTGACCCTGCTGCTGTTGCTGCCCGCCCTGGCTCTGCTGCCCCTGACCCTGCTGCTGCTGACCCTGCTGCTGCTGCCCACCCTGGTTCTGCTGACCCTGACCCTGCTGCTGCTGCTGCCCACCCTGATTCTGCTGCCCCTGACCCTGCTGCTGTTGCTGCCCGCCCTGGTTCTGCTGGCCCTGACCCTGCTGCTGCTGCCCACCCTGGCGCTGCTGCTGTCGTCCCTGCTGCTGCTGCTCAAACAACCCTGCCTGCTGCCAACCATGCTGCTGCTGCTGGCTTAACAGTCCTCCCTGTTGCCCACCCCACTGCTGCTGCTGCTCACCCTGCTGCCTACGCTGACCCTGCTGTTGTTGCCCGAACAGCCCTCCCTGCTGCCCACCCCGCTGCTGATGTTGCTGCTGTCCCTGCTGCCACTGCGTACGCTGACCCTGCTGCTGCTGGCCATGCTTCTGCAGCTGTCCATGCTGCTGCTGTCCACCCGGGACCTGCTGCTGCTACCCCTGCTGCTGCTGCGGCCCACCTTGGCCCTGCTGCCCCTGACCCTGCCGCTGCTGCCCAAACAGCCCTCCCCACTGCCCACCCTGTTGTTGCTGGTGCTGCTGTCGCAACTGTTGTTGCTGCTGCCCACCTTGGTGCTGCTGCTGCCAAAATAGCCCTGCTTGCTGCCCACTCTGCTGCTCCTGCTGTCCGTGCCACTGATGTGAACCCTGGCCCTGCTGTTGCTGGCCTTGCTGCTGCTGCTGTCCCTGCTGCTGTTGGCCCTGCTGCTGCTGCTGCTGCTGCTGCTGCTGCTGCTGCTGCTGCTGCTGCTGCTGCTGCTTCTGCTGCTTCTGCTGCTGCTTAGACTGCCCTGCCTGCTGCCCACTCTGCCCCGGCTGCTGCTGCTGGCCCTGCTGCTGCTGCTGCTGCTGCTGCTGCTCAGACAGCCGAGTCTGCTGCCCACTCTGCCCCGGTTGCTGCTGCTGCCCATGCCACCGCTGCTGTTGGCCCCGCCGCTGGAGGCGACCCTGCTGTCGGCGTGGCTGCTGTCGAACATTGCCAGCATACTGTTGCTGCTACCGCCCAGACTGTGGCGATTGCTCCGAGGGTTCATGAGAAGTTGGCTAATTTCTGGTTGATCCCAGGCTGCCTGTTGTTGGCACATGCCTTCGTACACGTCTTGTCCCCCGACTGTTGCGTGGGAAGTCGGTGTGAACACTCGGTGTACCCAGTAGGTACGCTGCGAAGTTTGGAAACCGTTCTCTAGCCACCTTCACATAGGTCTCCCACTTCTTTTCTGACCTGCAGTCTTGGAGTTTTCTAAATAGGTCAACGGCATTTGGACCGAACCTTGTCAAGTTCTGCTCCAAGTGCCACGAACAAAAGTAGTGCGGGAGTGAGGGGAAGACTTCCTTCACAGTAGGAACAAGACCTTTGTCCCTGTCACTAATCACAGACGCATCATCCTCGCCTAACCAGTCAGGAAAGTGGCCTTTGAAGCACTCCAAAAACCACCTCCAGCTACAAAAATTCTCACCTTCAACCAGTGCGAAGGTGAGAACAATGATGTTGTTGTTACCATCCAATGAAGTTGCGATGAGGAGCGTTGCACGTTGAGCAGAAAGCAAGAACGTTCCATCAAGGGCAACTACCGGGCGGCAACACTTTAGAGACTCTCTGGTTGCGGAAGGGGCTACTAAGAAACGTTTGAATTGTTGCTGATATGTTTGCAGCCTGACAGTGGCACCCGGATCAATAAGCTTCAAACGTCTCTGGAGTGAAGGAATGAACCCGAAGGAGTCTCTCCAACTGCCAAACCGTTGAGTAACGATCTTCTCCTTCAATCTGTTTAGTGGACGGGGATGGATCGAGAAGGGTTGAAACAGACTTGCATTCAAACCATGGCTATCAAGGTATGTGGGAAGTACATAGTATAATTGGTGACATTTGAAATGCCAAGTCAATCTCACTTGTATGCTTGTTGATACTTGATGGAAGGCCCCCCAGTTGCCACGAACTGGTCGATGTACTCACGCGGAGCGAGAAACGGCGCCCCTCTAACAAGTGCTCCGTACAAGCGTTCGAGGAATTTTACTTTGTTCACCATAGATTTCACGTAGGTTCCCTGTCCGGCCAGTCACAGGTGTGCACACTCGCAGGACTTAACTTCTTCACCAACCAAAAGCCCCCCATACGGCAGACACTAAAAGTGCACTCCCACGGGTCTGTTTTGCCACCACGTTCTTCAGACGATTTGCACACTGCCCTAGCCCGGGTTGGCTTGCTATAACTCATAGCGAAACCAAAGCGATGCGCAAAAGCGAAATCATAAAGGACATTGATTACGGCCTCCTTAGACGTATAGAAGTTCCCGATTTCTATGGGGGAATTGTCGTCTACGTTGCATTGCGGTTCTGGAGATGGATCAGAATCCATTGCCTCAAGAGTTGCTGCAAGCATCTCCGTCTGGGCGTCGTGCACTGATATTGTAAAAACTGAACTATTATTCCTGCTGATAAATAACTGAACATGTCTTGGTATGTACGTAGCTAACTTTCTGTAGAAGTCTACGTAGACTACATAGAGACAGGCGTGTGAGGCAGCGTGCGTGAGTATGCTGGAGAAACCCTAATAGTATGAGGGGTGAGCCCCTGCCTTATTCGCCTGGCTTTCCTCACATTTTAGCTTTCCGCAGGCTTCGGAAATGTTTCCACAGCATTGCTGATGTGG